TAGCTTTACACCTCCAACCATCCGTGTGACCGACTCAGCGCGTCGACGGCCCCGACACGGTACACTACGTGCATCGCGGACAAGAGCGTAATTATAGTGCTGGAGACCGCTTTTCGTAGATGTAAAAATAATCATAACAAGATACCAACCGTTACACAACGCCACTGAAGATGTCAATGCCGTACGGGTCACACCGACTATCGTCGTCGACGTTATTGGGCTTAACGACACACTCCACTGCTGAGGCTATATGGCACCGCCTGCCTCTCACCCTGGCAGGAAGGGCGGTACCACGCGCATCCCACACACTAATCGACCATGTCAACGTTACTTGCATCAGACTGGTACAACGCTGGGTGCCTAATGACTGCTGGTACATCCTCGGTAGATAGTCAGTACCTTGCTGTCACCCGCTGATGACGTCCTGGATCGCTGCCCCGGGGCAGACTCCGTCTCATCAGCGTCCTCGTCGCCGGTCTCTTCCTCCTCCTCCTCGTCATCATCCTCCTCCTCGCCCCCGGCCTCGTCGGACTCCTCGTCCGACTCCGGCTCCTCGTCGGCAGCGTGCTCTTCGCCCAACTCAGCGGCAGCCTCTTCAGCCTCGTCTTCCTCTGGCTCAACGTCCGAGACGTTCACCCAGCCGTCCGAGTCCTGGAGCAGCGCAAGCGCAGTTGGGGCGCGGTTCGCGTGACGTCCCGCCGCCACAGTCGCGAGCAAACACCACACCCTGGGGGACCCAACCGGGGTCGGGGCACACCGCCCCGGCGCCCGGGGAAGGCGGTACTACGGCGCCATGCCAGACACTACACAGCCATGCTCCTGTGACGTCCGGTCCGAGACCGCCGGCGCGGCCAAAATAACCCAGGCACGGGCCAGGTAACCTTTCACTGATCCGTCCAGCCTCACACCATCTTCATCGCGTCAACTCAAGCAAGCCTATGAACCACGACACACCTCGCCCCACCAGCCCATCAGCCCAACACGTAATAACCTTCCCACGACCCTTCAACCCGACCCTCTTGAACCCAGCAAGAGCCCGGCCTGACCTCTCTGAACCCCAGCATGAACACAGCTGACCCCTTCCCTGACCCCGGCAGGAGCCCGGCCGACCACCTGACCCGGCAAAAGCCCAGCCGACGCCAGCTGGCCCCAGCTGACCTCGTCCTCCTGGCCGCGGCCGTCGTCGGCGGTCGGCTGCTCCGGATCCAGCACCTCGGCACCAGGGATGTAGTCCCGCGCGCTCACAGCGCCGTACGCCGGCCGCTCCAGCTCGCCAGTGGCCTCTGTTGGCCGGCCCTGCAAACACCCTCGCCGTCGTCACCCGGCGGCTGTTCGACGTGGCACACGCGGAGGAGGGGCCCGCTCTCGCTCTCGGTGACGGCCCCCATGCTCGGTGCTCCAGGCCGTCGCGGGATATAACCAATAGCTCTGTGGCTATAACCGAGGCTTGGCTATAGCCGCAGAGTCGGCGGAGGCGGGGTGAGCGGCTTAGACGAGCTTGCGGGCCTTCCGCCACGGACGCTTACATAACAGGCGCTGTTTGGTGGCAGACCACGTTCCGTTACGAGGCATCCGTTTGCACGCTTGTCTTAGCAGTTTGCAGGCGGCAAGCATAACATGGGGCACTGGGGGAATGGTATTGATGGCTTGCACCCATCCGGAGTCAAGACTTGATGCCGCGAAGAGCTCCAGGCAGCGACCAAACCACTGATGTAGCCGGTACACAACACCCAAGATAAGAGCCACGATATGAGCACGATCTCCGACGCTCGCAAGCCACTCTCGTCAATCTGACGAATGGCTCCCACGCAGCAGCGGTATTGTGTGCGACGTACAGCCACACGGCCATCAGCGACACCCACGCCGCGCGCGGCGCTCGCACAAACGTCTGGTTCATGTTCGCACACAGCGAGGACAAGGCGGCCACCTTCCCCGCCCGCGAGCGCGCGCGAGGTAGCAGCGGGGCTGCCACAGGCAGCGTGAGAGTGGCAGTCCGACTACGCACCCTGTCCTTCCTGTGCAGCAGCTCGGGGTGCGTGTGTCGGTAGTGCTGGATGAGCGAGCGAGCTGCCATCATGACGTTTCTTGTCACGGTACTTCTTGTACTGGGCCAGGTCCTGCAAGCAGGTCCTCCCCCATCGCCAGCGGACAGCGCATGCAGACCTCGCGGATGGCGTTGATCCTGAGGACGGTCGTCGGTGGGAGACATGCTTGCCGGCAGGACGCCGGGACGTAGCTGTTTAAAGGAAACATGGAGTGAAAATGAAACTTTATTTGAGATCTTCCACGCAGTTCCATGCGCCAAGATGAAACAAGAAAACGACCATAAGTCAGCTTGGCGCGTCACCTAAACCTGATTCCAGCACAACTATAACTGCACCGAAACTATGCTCATGATAAATTTTACAAATAAAATGCATTCCAAGTATTCACAAATGATACCAAAAAATCGCACTCAAGCACCATCCACCCATCAACGGCATTACAACTCGCCAACTTCATCCTCAGCATCTGCACAGCTCACAAACAGACAACGTTCACCCGTGCCGGTAACGCAGCCAGGAGGGAGACCAGCCGGGGGCCGCGGACCCGCCGTGGCGGCCCCTGACGCCTGACCCCCGGCCGGGCGGCGGGCCACTCACCCCACCGTGATGACCTCGGACGAGTTGCGCTCTGTGACGAAGTTGTTGGCGATCGTCATCAGCATAGGCTGCACCACGTCCGGCGGCACCAGCACGTGAGACGCCTGCCGGGCGGGGCGAGGGGGACGTCAGGTGCCACGCAGACGGACGCGGGGCGATGGAGGGGACGTCAGGTGCCGCGCAGATGGACGCGGGGCGGGGGGAGGAGGGGACGTCAGGTGCCGCGCAGATGGACGCGGGGCGGGGGGGGAGGGGACGTCAGGTGCCGCGCAGACGGACGCGGGGCGGGGAAAGAAAGGGGCGTCAGGTGCCGCGCAGGTGGACGCGGGCCGGGGGGAGGAGGGGACGTCAGGTGCCGCGCAGACGGACGCGGGGAGAGGGGAGGAGGGGACGTCAGGTGCCGCGCAGACGGACGCGGGGAGAGGGGAGGAGAGGACGTCAGGTGCCGCGCAGACGGACGCGGGCGGGGAAGAGGGGACGTCAGATGCCGCGCAGACGGACGCACGGACGCGGGCAGGGGAGGAGGGGACGTCAGATGCCGCGCAGACGGACGCGGGATCCGGCGACGCGCGAGGTCGGCGCAGAGGAAACGCGGCACACTCCGTAGCCGGTACGGGGACGGCAGGACATTCCGGTAGTCCGCGGCTGTGACAGGCCCGCGCACAAGAAACACAGTCACCTGTGACTAGGTCCTGGCTAGGGTGCCGTCAGGCTATCGTTCTCTTAGCTTAGTTAGTTGGTAAAGCGCTGGACACCTGTCCGCTAGGGTGGCCGACTATGTGGACTGCATGCGTTTGCATTCCAGAAACCGTCCCCGGTTATTAAGACGGCCAGCTGGGAACTGGCCACGCAATGGTGAGGACAGCACCGGGCGGCTGCGTCGAGCCAGGGCACGGCGAGTTGACACCTTTCAGCCAGAATGACCTTTTACACTGGAGTGGCGGGGACGGGTCCGCAACAAGTCATTTTCGTACGGTATCTGATCCCAAATACTTTTATGAACCAAAACATTTGGTCAAGTGCACAAAAAATCGCTTACATTGCTTCGTCGCGCACATCGCCTAATATGCCTTCGCGAGGCTTATCCAGTCTTGACAAAACCTATCGACAGCAGCATGCCGTTTGCCCGTCTGGAACGTGGGACGCACCAGCGTCGCGCGGCCGTCGGCCGGCCCGGCCGCGCGCCCGCAGCAGCACGTCCCTGCCGTCCGGACCGACCTGGGCGGCGTACTGCAGGATCCTGGTCACGTCTCGCTGGTGTGGCTGCAAGAAGCGCTGCAGGTACGGGTAGAAGTTGAAGAGGAAGAGTTCGTGGATGCCCACCAGACGAGCGATCAGACCCATCATCATCAGCTTCACCTGGCGGCAGCGCGGATCGCGCGTCAACACCGGCTGACAGCAACCCCCTCCCCCCACGAGCCGCAGCACCGCAGACAGCACACTCCCCGTCCAGGCGGGCGACAGTGACCCCAAGCTCCGGCACCTGGCGTCGAGGGACGCACGTCCGAGCCGCGGCGCCACAGGCGGCACATTACCCGCCCCGCCGTCCAAGTCCACACCGCTCGTTACGCCGACGTCGCTGCTACGGCTGACGGGACCAGATCTCGCCGCCAGCCCGGCCGCGCTGCGAACCTCGTAGCGCTCGTTGAGCGACTCCATCTTCTTGTAGAGCCGCTCGGCCAGGCCCTGGGCGTCGTTGACCAGGTGCAGCGCCGAGAAGTTGAACGACTCGCCAGTCTTTTTCTTCTTCTTAGATTTCTGGAGAGGGAGTGATGCGGTCAGTTACCGGAGAACAGCGGGTGGGAGTGCATCCGCGTCGCTGGCATGCCTAGCGAGCGTGAGAGTGGGAACACCAGCTTGTCGCTGTGAGCGACTGTTCACCTGCAATAGCACTTATACAAAAATGTACAACATTAATCGAATCTTCTCAGTGATGCCTTGATTCTACCTTCGATTATACCTTTACAAATGTATCCGCAACGAAAGCATGCATACCTTTGTCAACGCCCTGGCTTTCTCCAGTGATTTCTTCTTTTTTCTGGTCTTTCTCCCGAAGTTCGACGAAGAAATCACAGCTTTGGCCGCAGTTGTCTCGTCCTGGAACACAACAACGATGATCGGATCACAAATGGCGGGAGGGTGATTATAAATCACAGCCGATAGCAATCCTTCAAAAAATGCCCTTCCCACACATCAAGGCGCGTTGGCTGGGCTTTTAGTCGTCCGGAAAATCGTTCAGGAGCGACATCTCCACAGCCAACATGCAGTTGTTTAACATTAGTACACTAGTGAATTACAACCTATAAGCGGAGCTACATTGCCCCAAACTAGTTTCTCAAGTATGCCTCACAAGATATTCCACAGCAAAGCCAGTTCCCGAGCACACAGCCACTGCCATTGTAAACCACACTGGTTCGTGTACATGCTTACCTGATTAGGTAGCTACCGCTCATTAATCATGCTAATCAAACGCGAAATATTGTCTCATTGATTGCATGGCAGAAATGCAGAGGCGTCTCGTTGTAGACGCGCGACAGGTAACCTTCGTGGTAGCATCTAAGCCGTGGAAATCGATAATGACCGTCAAAAAGCCTTAAAATACATTCATAGCGTGTGTATGTCGTTACTTGGATGGTGTCTTCGCCGCATTCACATGGTGAAGGGCTTGTGGTGGCAGCTCAGGTGGATTTACGCGCCAGGTGCCATGCATGCAGTAACATGCAGCAGCAGCCGCATGCCGCAGCAGCAGCACGTGCAGCTATATACATGAACAGAGAATGACAAAATAGGTGCGGCAATAGCCACACTGGCCCAACCGTTTCTGGGACCAAACCGATCGATAAAAAGGCAATCAAATTCCGGCCCACCAAACACATGAGGTTTTGTTCAACCCAACCGACTCTGAGGCCAGACCCCTTGACCTGCACTGGAACGTTCGAGAAGCGCCGTTATATTCAGGGGCTGGGTCAGGTCAAGGCTAGGGGCGCGTGTCCCACGGGCTGCAGAGACCTCTGAGAAGGCGTCACCTGGAAAAGGCACTTCGTGGGAAATGAAAAAGTGAGCTTGCTTGCGTGGAGAAGTGCCGAGTGACGGATATCTGCCGCGGGTGACGGTAGTGGCGATTCCAACATGAGTGGCAGCATGTCATGCGCCGTGATAATTTGTAGGAATACGAGATCCCGACAAAACTGGTTAAAATGTGGACGGGAATCTTCAGGCACGTCGTTTCTACGACCCAATGGCATAGCAGGCGCCGATAGTGTGGTGGTAATGCATCTGCGTTGACCACCGCGCGTCTGGGAACCCAAAGGTACCGGGTTCGATTCCCCGCAGTGCCCGCCCTTCCTACCAGCATGACAGGTAGGCGACACCATATAACCTCAGCAGCCGAGTCCGTCGTAAAACCACAATGACTTATGAAGACCCACTGACATAAAACGAAGTGACCGAAATTCGCGGAGAAATCACGTTCTGTGGAAATGTGACGGCTTTCAGCATGACTGTGTCTCCTACAAATTCTACGAAAAGCCGCCACGGCCTCTTTAACCACATCTCAGGTATGTCCCTGGATACCACACCGGCCCTTTTAAGTGATTTAACGGCAGTGTTTACAACGTTCCATCGTCCTTAATACCAGCAAGCATGCAGTGCAGTACCGCAGTAGCAGTCTTCCTGCCTTCTCGGATTAAAAACATATTCCACAGCGGTGATTACCTCGGACTCGCTGTCAGAAGACTCCTCATCCTCATCCTTGCCCAGGAAGAACTTCAGCGCCGTCACCATCACCTTGGTGGTTTTAGAGAAGAGTGCCGTTGTGATGACGTTGACGGTTTTCTGGTCGTTCCACACGCCTTTCTTGTAGAGGTCGATCATAACATCCATGGCGATCTTGGCTGCCTTGACGTGGCTGTCACGCAGCATACCGTACATGAAGTTCTGCAGAGTCTGAAACATGACGGATTGACTGGAATATTGTGACATGCTGAACGTGCTTTCACAGGCACGATACAAATGACGCGTTGCCTCGTACAGTACAAAATCATGGCTTACATTCGCACCTCTATCTCTATCAGATAAATACAAGCCAGTAATATAATAAGCAATTTAACAGTCTAATGCTGCAGTCAAGCGACATTGTAGTTGCATGAATGCAACATTAGAATTTCAAGTTTGTGCATGTCATCAAGTACCACATGCGCCGAATTTTGCGACTTTTGCCAGCACGGAGCAAACAGTGAAATGACATCTAGAGCAACCCAGAGTAGGATGGTCGGAAGCCCATGCCTGGACGTACCCCGTTACGAGTGGGGAAAAGGTACACTACAGCAGAATGCTGAGCACCTGCATGGGCAACACAAGATCACCGCGCGGGCGCAAAATGCAAGGGCGCAAAATGACCTAAACAATCGGCGCGACTTAAGCCTCCAATCAACAAGACCACCACTAGCAGTATAACCACGTCTACGTCCATCACTAACCTTGCCGCGATATAAACAGCACAAAAGTCCGTGAAAGGTCACGAGTTTGAAATCCATGTGCGAGACACATGATCACCGCCGCGCAGGTCTCACTGCTACGACCGTCCGCTTAACTGACCGTGTTCAGCTTCATGTTCTTGCGCTTGGCGTTGACATTCTTGATGTCGCTGACGATGTGGCCCTGCAGGAAGTCCCGCAGCCCCTTGTCCTGGCAGCGCAGCAGCTCGAAGAATAGCTCCAGCAGGGCCGTCGGCGCCAGCAGGTTCTTGTTGCGCAGCAGGATGAGCGCCTTGCAGAACGTCTGCGGGCGACGGCGGTGCGCTCGTCAGGTGGGCACCCGTGCCCCGGCCCGGCTGGCTGGCGGGGATCGGCTACAGCGTGCCTTCAGCCGCGCAATTCAGCATTGATCACCAATGTGAAGGAAAGCGAGGAGCGGTGCTGTGCACGAGCCCGCAATCCCGTCACCGCCAGGTTCACGGCAGCGCCAGTGCTATCCGCCGGCCGGGGAGGCTCAAAATTCATTCCAAGCCACCTCTCCAACGGTCGGCATAGTCCGAGACAGCACACCTTTACTGGCTATCTGGCGATGCATGACCTGCTGCCGGGGCCGGGACAGGGCCAGGCAGGACGGCAGCAGGCGAGCCGCCCTGCTGCGACTGAGTGCCACTTACCATCCGCATATCAGCGTCGATGACGGTGCTGTACTGGCGCAGGGTGTCCATCAGCTCCTGGGGGTATGCAGACACTGTCTGCGGGTAGCAGTGGGCCACCTGGAGGACAGCAGGGCCGGCAGTCAGCAACCGCAGCAACATGCTCACAGGACACCAGCACACATACTCACCATGCATGACACATGCTCACAGTGCAGGACACATACTCACAGTTCAGACACATACCTACAGCCCAGGTCACATACTCACAGTCCAAGCCACATACCCACAGTTAGACATGCACTCACAGTTCAGGGCACATGCTCATAGTCCAGGGCAAACACCCACAGTCAAGGACATGTACCCACAGCCAAAGACACCTGCCCACCATCCAGGACACATACTCTGCCAGACCTAAGATCAGATTCCAGATTTGGTGTCCTTCCAGATAACAGGTTGCGATGCTCACTGGTTCCTTGGTGCTGGAGGTGGTCAACTGGCAAGGTAACAATGGGCCTCTGTTCAGTTTGAGAGCCTGACACTTATCATCTGTATAAGAGAGCCTTTGCTTCTCTGGGAATCAATGCATCACAATAATCAAAATATAAAACAGCAAGAGCCTGAAAAACTGTCGCAGCTCTTACAACTCGGAAATGCTGATTGTCTATCTGACCTGTAGATGCTAACAGGGTCCACTGAGGGAGCAAATTTGCTGGATGCTGATTAATTCTTGAATATAATACCTTAAATGCTGGGCAAGCAGGGGCATCACCTGACATTAACATGGTGGTGGAAGTACAAAAGGGTGACCTGTACCATGTGTTTCCTGCAATATCGTACTTTCACCTTTGCATATCCTATTCAAGTTACTTCACCTGCACCATCCCAAGCCTTCATCCATGAGGCACCTTGAACAAGCATCAATAAAAATTGCTACTAAACTTGCCTGTGCCACAAACATTGTGAGCTCATCCAAGTTCTGGCTGTACTGGTCAGGCTGCAGCCGGAAGACTTGCAGGGTTGACTGGTAGTGCCGCCACTGCTGAGCAAACTGTTGGAGAAAAAGTGAAGCCATACATGCTGCCATCAAACCATCCTTGTAATGCAAAATGGAAGCATTCAAAGTGGCATGGTTGTGGTTGGACTGCAAAATAGTATATGTGCTGAACATGCCTGCCATGGCAGTGATGCCTAAACAATTTCAGCTAATGAATGCTGCAAATCTGAGACCCCAGTTTGGTTTATGGTCACCACAAATTTCAGAGTAAAACACCAGTGTTTCAAGACATTGTGATGCTTCATTTTGTATGACTAAGGTTGTGATACCATTGTGATCTCAGTGCAGCAGAGAAATGCAATGTCCTAATAAGGTATACAGCCAGATCTTCTCGGTGTCTCACAGCTCTAGTAAATCAAGAATATGCTGTTGAAGATCAACATCAACTCAAGACTACAAGGGCATTTAAATGTAATATCTACTTACCTCTTCTTGATAGCTTTCATGATCCCTTTTGATCAAGTTCTGCAACTGAGGTAAATTGTTAGGCAGCTGATTGCCCACTCTTTGGGTTTTCGTCATCTTTGAATAATGTTTAAAACCCAATGACCATCTACTTCCCACGCAAGGCGGATCCAATGTGCAACCGCGCAGACACGGCACCCACGCGGGGAGCTTACGGACCCTACGCGCTGAAAGCACGGCAATGCAAGGCCGTACGCCACCAGGCGATTTGTTTACACCCTACGCTAGCGGCTGCGTGACGTCACTGGGAGTCACATCGTCGGCAGCCCACGACAGGCACTGAATGGGAGGCCGAGATATCGGCCGCAGGACGCCTTCAGCTATACTCTTCAATTTAAATACGCACAATATCACGCCACATGCTGCATACGGATCACATCTCCAGCATCATCACGGCCGTCATTGTCGCGGCTGTCACCGCCATCAATGCTGCCAGCAGTGACGGCGACGGGGCAGTCGCCATTGTTACTGTCTCGTCCGCTGCCACCACAATACGAGAGCGTCACAAGCGGTCAGCGGTCATAAGGACCGGAGAAACCGGCGATTTCCGCAGCACATGAGCTCTCTGGGCAGGCGTACCAGGCAGTCTCACGTCCTAGGGATGCACGTGACTGCCCCGCCCTCCCCGACTGGTCCCAAAGACTTATCTAAGGCTCTGCGCGACGATGCGCGATGCGACGGTGCCTGAGCGAGTCGGCGCTTGAGTCGTAGTACTTGACTGTGACAGGACTGGAGCTCTGCTGTTGTCTGGTCGCATGCATCCACCGCCGGCTACCAGACGTCAGCGAAAGCCTGGTGGCGTGCCAGCACGGCCGGCTGTAGCCGGTGGCGGCACATTTGGGCGGGCGAGCAGCCATCTGCACGTTAGGTGTTGCGCAGCTCCAACAGACCGTGCGCTCAGGTCAGGCGGGTTGGTTCAACCTTCGCTCCAGGTTAGATACGGCCACCCGGTCGGCTGTGCACGCCGCGGGCCACCGGCAACCGGATAAAGCGCCGTTATGGCCACACAACAGGCTCGTCCCCGAACAGCCCGGCGAGTTAGGCTTTTCTGAGCGGTACGCCGGGTCTAGTGATCGAGTGATGACTTACGATCCTCACGGACCTGGGTGCTGTACTCTTCTTCCCCAGCAGCGGCAGATCCGTGATGTACAACGGCAGACCCGAGTGAACCACCCTCCTCTAGTAGCCCAGCACACCCGGGGGTACAGGCACTCATTCTTCAGCAGCAGCTGACCCATGTGACAGGCTGCTACATGCCTGGGAAACACATAGCGGAAGACCCTGGCGATACACACTGGAGATATCGGAAGATCCATGTGATACACTCCTATCCAGCTGCAGCAGATCCAAGCGCCGCACTCTCCTCCTCCAGCTGCGGCAGACCTAGGTGCTGCACTCCAGCAGCGGCAGATACGGACATTGCAATCTCGCCTCCGACAGGGGCAGACCCGAGCCGCAATCCCAGCAGTGCAGACCTGGGTTCCGCACTCCAGCATTGGAGGCCCCGGGCGCCGCATCTCCAGAAGCAGCAGACCAGACCCTCACAGCTCCCTTTCAGCAGCTTAGATCCGCTACTGGAGCAGTCAGGGCTAGCCGACTTTCAATTTGAGGACAAAAAGCTCCTTTTCAAAATTTGCAGCTGAATAAAATTTGGAGGCCTTTTTCACTACGTCCACCCATCCGAAACCGATCAGACACTCACATGGCAATCGTTGAAAACAAAAACGGCCGGCTTATTGCAGACATTACGCGACATCAATGAGCGTGTTATCCCAGTGACGTCACTGCCGTTCGTTGCTAGCAAAAGGGCTTTCTTATGGCTTGCAACACCACTGGCCAAACAACACAACACCTTGGGCCAAACGTGCTAAAGATTGGCTGACGCTCACGCTTGATTTGTCACAAAGCGGTATAAATGTGTGGTCCCCAACAGGGATGCTAATAGCAAGGCTATCTAACGCTAATACTATATTATTTTTGGCCCCGTTATCATAAATGTGTGCAGTGTGATGTTTAGACCGATAACAGATGATAACAATTGTACAAGACATCGCTATTGACGATCTCTTTTATTCTTAAAACGCACTTCAATGCGTCACATTTTAGTGAAGTGCCAGGAAATTTATATTCGGAAATTGTAGCACGTCGATATGTGCGTAGGTCTGGATATGTTCTGGAATTTAGCAAATATATTATTTTGTGACAGCATTCATTCGGATTACAAGATTAAAACAGCGGATTCATGGCATCAATCAGGCCACGTTGTCGCAAGGTTTCTCGAGCACATGACCTACATCAGGAGACCTTGAGTGTTGGGTAGGCTGAATGTTCGCATCGTACCTCTCGGCTACAAATTCGTGGCCTCGAGCTACGCCTAGAAACGATTCGATGTCCGTGTTCAGTCATCCACTTACCCTGCGGGCGACGTTGTAGGGTGGGTGCGAACAGTGGACGTTATCTCCGCAATACCGTTGAAATTTAGCATAAAACATTTGGAGCTGTCCTCGTACGCTCAACCACCAGACAATAAACTTACTCGTTTATTTATTCCCATCCTCAGCAACCCAAACACAGTCGGGCTGTCCCGACACACGGTGGAAACCGGGGCTATTTCCACCCACGTGTCGTATGCAGAGAGCATGGATGCAAATAAATAAAGGCAAGGTCGGGAGACAGCCACAGTCATAACAAGAGCGTAGTTACTGTAAGAGAATTTTCCCACATCTGTTTCATGTAACGTATAAAAAGGGGCTGCATAACATCATACTAGGGAAGTTGTTCCAACTGCCAGTGGCACATATGGAACCGAAGAGTACACACCAAAAATAGCGGTGCCATCCCAACATTCGTGGTCGAGGTGTCTACCGAAATGTCAGAGGGCTTTGCTGGAAATCTCCAGAACACGTTTTGAAGCAGAGCTTTCAAACAGTACAACTCTAAATTTCACAAGGGTTTGAATGATTGAAACATGCGCAGGTTTTACAAGAAAGCTAGGTTGACGCAAATTTCAGGCTCTAAATGTTGTTCGCGCAGATATTGACATCGTCCTGTTTGCGCGGTGGCTCCTCTTTGCTGGCTACCCAGAATGACTTTGGGCGATTTCATATTCGCGCAGCGAGCAACGAGCCATGGGCCCCCCTTCCTCCCCCCCCCAAAAAGCATACCTGAGATGGGGCCCCGAGTTCGGATGATTCGAAGCATGAGTTCAGACTAAGGTCTCACTGAATCTCGGAGCCTAAAAACGTTGTATCTAAAGCACCTACCTCACACACAACATTCTGACGACATTCTGACATTCATTCTGACATTATGGTTCATCCGCATGGTGTCAAAAGCACCCTTGACTACACTCCCCATGCCTTTGAAAGACCCCAGAAAACGTACATACCAATCAGAATTGGTAGCGGCGGCCACCTCTTCTGATTGGTGGTGCATTTATCAGATCGGGACCTGCATTGCTAACAGGCGAAGGATCTCTCCAGTGACTGGACGTGACGACGGCAGGAATCCCATGGCAGTGTTGTTTAACTATGGTTTCACTGGAATGCCAACGGCGGCTTTCTAGCGATCAACCGCTTGCATTCGATAAACTTCTCCAGCAATAGCTATTACCGCATAGCTCGTAACCCAAGCAGCGCCTGACGCTCTGCAGACGTGGATGACGGGCCGCGTGGAGGCCCACACTCCGCCCTCGGTCGGCTGCAGCACTCGTCATATCACTCAGCTGGGCCTCTCCCGGGCGCGGTATTACCCGCGCGTAATGTATGCAGGGAACGGCCCGGCCGCGTCCGAGCCGCGGCGTACCCAGACCTGCACGCCGGGCGTGTGTGACGACAGGGGCGGCGGCGGAAGGCCCGCACATGGAAGCCAGGCTTCTGTTCCGAGGGTGACCGCAAAGCTGACGTCACAGGCCACCTGGCAAGGAGGAAGTGTTGGGTAACTATGTGAGCACGGTGCGAGAACGGACGGTGACGAGTGCGCCACTCCTGACTTCAGGCATTGAGGTCAGGTCATTCAGCATGATTGTACGCATCGGCACGGCTCTCCGGTATTCTGTCAGATAGTTGGCATACACTTACGTTTCGCATGCGATGTAAATATGTTTCCTTTCCATCATCTCTCATCCTCCGACGTTCACGCTCAGTGATAGGGTTTTGTTCCTCTCTTTGGAGTCATAAGTTATCCCCACAAGTCAGACAGCTGGAGAGCTGATAGCTTTTATTGGAAAATGGAATAAAATGTGGATCATTACTTACAAAGAATACGAGTAATAAAACACAGATCTCATACCGATAGTCACTAAAAATTGCATGTGTTGATGTATCGAACAAGTAATCTAATCAGCATGAAACATAATATAACGCACCGGAGGCATTACGCATGTATCCAAACACCCTGCATATTAAACCGAGCGCCGGTCAGGTTCTTGCTTGCGTGAATACTTGCATGATACACAGCAGTGCCTAAGCATGTACACACGATCATCGCCGCTTAAACAAGACCATTGCAGATAAGTGCCAGTAACGACATCGGGTTGAACTGATGCTCGTTTCGGCACATCGTGATACAGCCGCGTTGGATGCCTTAATACCGGTCACAGGTCACGTGGTCACGATGTCTGCTGTATTAATTATGAAACTGATTGATACGCCCCAGGCACGCATACAAACACGACTATGGTATATTCAAAGCGACGCTGAAGACATTCTTAAAACATGGAATACGTGATCCAGCTCACCTTTTGAGGCAAGCCCCGGGGCACTATAAGTATCAAGGAATACGACGGCAATATACTCTGCAACGTCTGCAAACCACCAGAGCCCAGATGTACTTGCACCAATGTACTTGCATCAGCGCAGGCACATTCCGATGTACTTACTGGTCATGCATGGGACTGCGTGACGGTTCGGTTTTTATTGATTTATAGAAAATAATTCAAGCTGAGTGACCATGCTCATTAACCAGGTTATTGATGGTCTTTGCACGAGTTTGCTTTTTGGGAGCCACCAATGATAGCGTCATGCAGTTTCAGCAACATCTAGCATGCTTCTTTTTTAAGTTGCTCTGCAGTGCTTTGGAGGCACTTCCATCCAATTTGTTTCATCATATGTGTCTTTCCGCATCCTGTAGTGCGAACGATGTCTTCAAGA